GAATAATAAAAACACAAATTTACCTCCATATCATTCTACCTTTCAGATCTTCTCCAGCCCACCTCATCCAGTCTCCATCTGCATCACCAGCAACACCAACATCTGAACAGCAGGGGGCGCCAGAGTCATTCAGTCTTTTACTTGATAACTACTATTTTTCTATTGTTAATTACAGGCTACATTTCTGATTATTATTCTTTAGATTAAATCATACTTAATCAAATAATCAAAGCATTTAGATTATAATTTATTTATTAAATCAATCATACCATGAACCTACTGTATTTATAAACTATTTATAACAGCATGCTGTGATGTTAAATCCTATTACATGTAAACTACAGGATATAGCTCAGTTATTTAGGCTTGTATCACTATTTTTATGTTAACACACTAGAAGAAACAAACTGAGCAACAATTAAATAAAACCATAGTTGGTGTCAAAATATGTATTKTTTCTTGTTTTTGTTTTACCTAAATGTATAAGAGTATAATCTATGATTAAAAAAACATTAATACACAAAATTTACAACCAAATGTCTGCAGCATCTTTTGTAATAAATGAGCAAACTCAGCAGTCAGTTTTTGTTGCCAACAAAAGTCATTTGTTTACAATCACACATCGACAAGTACACTTTGAACAGTTTTGGCACATGACTGATGATGCGTTGACAAAATAATCCCCGAGTGTGAATGAAATCAGTAGGAGAACAATCAGAGTCCAAAGTGAAAAGGGAAGAAAGTTCTCTCTTCTTCTGATGCAAAATGACGACATAAAGCTGCTAAGATCATTTGCAAAAGAGCTGTGATGAGATAATCTGAACTCCAAAGAGAGAATTTTTATAACTAATCTTAACTGATCACCAAACCTAGTTGTCAACAAAGGCCAGTTTAAAAAAATAAATGAAAATTTTTAATATTATCATCTTCTGATGAAAGGCATAAGCAAATCATATTTTTGTGAATCTGTTAGTAAAATAACTGGATGGTTTGACTCAAAAAGAAATCACTGAATGTTCATTTACCTATTAACTTTTAGGGTCAGTCCAAATCAAAACGACCACCAATCATCCTTAAAATTTTCACAGGCCTTTAATTTCTATTAAAATAATAATGATGATTTTTTTTGTTTGTTTTTACCCCAAACATTACTGTGATGCGCAGCAATCCTACCAACAAACAGGAACAATGACTTTAAATTACAACAAACAACAATTGGCAGGATCAGTTAAATCTCACTAATTTACTAGAATGAATGTTGAGGCTGGTTGAGAATTAAATCATTAAAGCATGTCCCCAAACTTTCCAACTTCAAAGAGGACAAAAACCACTGCGTCAATTATTCTGACTCCCAAAACAAGATACCAGTTCATGAGAGAGGCAATTAGCTTGTGATATTGCCGCACACCATTAAGTARAATGGGACTGAAACTAAACTTTCTGTTCAAATGCTGAGTGTACTGCAGCAACAAAGAGGTGATTACAAACACACTTGGGTTGCCTAGAGGGAGCTGAGATAACGGTGTGTGGACTGAAAATCAGAAATAGGACGTAGTTCCATTTGTAGGCCTCATTTAAAGAGTGGACCTGATGCAGCAGACCACAGCTRTGGAAGATAATAGAGGCCCACACACACTCACATACCCACCACACACATTTCACTCACTGGAATAAAAGGCGGGTGGGGGACATTTCTGAGAACTCATTAACTACAGTAGCTCCACCCTGAGTTTTCAGTAAACCCCCCCCAGGGGTTTTCAAGAAGTTAAATATATAAATAAATAATGTGTGTTGGGCAGTTGTCGAAGGCGAGGACCTTGGTGGTCTGATCCTCGGCTACAGAAGCTGGCTCTGGGGACGTGGAATGTCACCCCTCTGGTGGGGAAGGAGCCTGAGCTGGTGTGTGAGGCTGAGWGTTTCCAACTAGATATGGTCGGACTCTACTCAACACACCGCTCTGGTTTTGGAACCAGATGGATGGAGGATGGAAATAAATAAATAAATCCACTGCACTTGAAAAAGTTTTGCTTCCTAACCAGTAAACTGCACAATGAGATGCAATAATTTCACTGCTCCCACAATGGAAAGTCGTTAAGGGTCTRTGTTTGGCTCATGACAGAAAAGTTTTGGTCACATTCCTGAGGGTGTGAATGTGTTTGTGTTCAGTCATGCATCTGTGAAAAGGCTGTTCGGTTCCTCCAACACAGAGGTCTGAACACTCCTCGCTGCACTGAGCTGCAGACTCCACAGTGCTCTGTTTATGTTTGGAGGGTCTATCTGTATGATGATCCAGCTTCTGCCTGAAAGTCCTGTTTGGTTTACAAYGCACCAGGATGCTGTGTTTGGAGAAGATCTTGTGGAGTTTCTCAGACACTTCAGGAGTACATGAGACAACAACGTTTTTGCATTTGTTCGTTGTTTGGTTCTGTGGCGAGTGTCTTTTACAAAATTAGACTTCAATTTTTTTTTATTTAGACATCCCTGTTAGGATATCCATGTTTTGGCTTTTGTGCTCGTGGGAATGTGTTGGGCCCAATGGTGTCAAACTCAGTTCACCACAGAACTGTATGCAGGAGGCAGTGGAGGATTATCATTCAGTTTCTGTTTGTTCGTGCTACTCTGTGAGTTTCATTCCTGTAAGCTTTTGCTGCCACATCCGTTTTTGTTTTTGTTTAAAYAACCATAGTTTATTTTACTCCCTGAGTTTGTCTGCATTCCTGGGTCAAAATACCTCCTGCCACTGTGATATGGATGACTAATAATCTATTCCCTTTTTGATTCCTTTCATAAGCTCAGAGCTACATTATTACTCAGAGCAGAAGTGCATCTTTTCATTTGTAATTTCTGCACATTTATCAAAATGCATGCAACAAGTTCATGTTTCAGTGGAGTATCTTCTTGCAGGGTTTCTCTGGCAGTGATCACATTATAATTAGCTTAAACACATGGCAACTGTTGCTCAGCTACTCGCTGTGGGTTAGAGCAAATACTTGGGGATTTCACAAACACTAGGTTGGGACTTTGCATCTTAAAAAAAAGGCTGAGACATCCTCAACACAAACATGCTCAAAATGTAACAAAAAGTGTGTGAACACCTGTGGAAATCTGATGTTAAAGCCCTTTGTGAAGAAAATGCTATAGTGTGTTTTTTAACATCGTTCTGTTTCCCCACCATGTAATTCAATTTACAGTTACATCAGAAGGAAAGCCAGAAAGTTAAATGACAATGTTTTAAAGTAGTATTAGTACTAGTAGATGATTTTTTACATTACCAGTCTGAGTTCAGACATTGTGGTGTTTTGTTTTTTTAATCAAACAAATCTTTAAACTCTACATCTAGTTACATATAATGTATAAAAAGTGAAGATGGCACTATTCCCATTAAAGCACAAAATGCATCACTAAAGCCTCGATCTTACTGCGACTGTTAGAGATGAGTTCTTGATCACCTTTCCAAAATGTCTTCAAATRGGTTCTCAGTTTCCTGGCATGAGTCAGAGGCTCGTAGTCTTGTTGCTTAAATTTTGAACATCTTAAAAATATTGTGCAACCACTTTTCTCTAAACAGTGGCTTACCAYATGCAGGCATCTTAAGTCTGTCTSTCTTTAATTTTGGTAATTGAGATGGGTACAAATGGCTTTTTGAAGAGATCTGAATGGTGACAAGCTGTTTGTTACATAGTTCTTTGATTTTGAAGAGTGACGTCATCATGGACGGATGTGTGATGATGTCACCACCATGTGTTTTGTCAAGCAGAAAACCCTCACCCACTTTACTGTACCTCTCTGGAGCAATTGCCTCTGTGGTAAAGGAGGAAAATATAGAGATTACGAGGAAYAAAAATAATAGTAAAACTAGGAATGGTTTTTTACTGTCCGCAGCTCAGTCCTTATYGTTTGTTGTAAGGAGTAGTTTAAAAGATTTGGTTTCATGAACGTCACAATTCTCCAATAATTTTATTTTAGAGCGCTGGAGCTGGATTTTGACACCTGCACAGGAACTCTCCTTACGACAGAAAACTTCAGAGGTTACAGCTACAAAWGTCAAGAATTAAAATCCACATTTGGCCCAAATTTGCCCACGTTTATTTTAGTACTCCAGTACACTGAATCAAAAACATGGAAAGACTTCTAATGGTGCGTTCACACCGAACGCGATTTCAGCRTCAGGAGCAGCAGGTTTACATACAAAGTCTATGGTGGACGCGCTTCAAGCAACGTCGGGAAGTGCTGCGGCGCCTCAAGCGCGATTTGAACGATTTGAACGATCTGAGCGTTCGACGCGCTGAGGCGCAAATCGCTGAAGTTAGAAAATCTGAACTTTTGCAGCTCGACGCGCAGCGTCAACCAATCAGAGAGACTCCACTGTGTGACGTAGCGACATATTTCCCGACGGGACAGTTTACTGAATGATGTCCACTAACCTGAAACAGATGGAGAGGAGCTCTTTAGCTGAAATGAGTGCCTGCAGTTTCCTGATCCACACCAATGCGTGGCAGCGACTCATCAGACTGGAAAAATAGTCCTGAAAGCGAGCTGTGAGCCTCTACTCTGAATTATCTGGTGAATTAATTATGAATTAATTATCTGATGAACGTGACATGCTCTTGCTCTCTGTAAATAAAGCAAAGCCACTTCCTCGTCCGACATTAAACAGAGCCCGTGCAGCACAGCTGTCCTGCGTCTGACCTCAAAGTGCACAAGCGACCAACTTCAGCGTTGGCTGCGATTTTGAAGCTGAAATAGCGTTCGGTGTGAACGCAGCATAAAGTGGGTTCAAAGCAGACTGAGGCAGTGATGGTACGGGCAACAAAATAATGTGCATGGCCTAAAATATAGTTTGGCAAGGAAAAATATTTTGGGTTGTTTTTTTTTTATTCCCCCTAAAATTAGCAAAATTTGTGCAAAATGTGACTTCATGGCTCACCTGCACAGCAAAGATGCCAGTGTTAATTTAACACCCACAGTGTTAATTTTAACACCAGCAACGTGTCTATATGTGTCGACACTCGCTGGTGTTAAAATAACATTTGTGAAAGTGTTAAATTTTAACACTCGTTTTTTTGTTGCTCCAACCAGTGTTTAACATTCAACGATACTGGGTGTCACATTAACATAAAAATAGTGTTAGTGTTAAAATATAGTGTTAAAAGTAACACCAGCCAGTGTTAAATATCCAACAATACTGGGTGTCATATAAACATTTTAACAGTGCTAAAATCAAGTATTGAAAGTATCACCAGTGTATTATTATTAACAAAGGAAATTGTGGTGTTTGAAAGGTTAACAGACACCACAAGGTGTCAATACACCATCAAATTGAGAGTATAAATTTAACAATCAGAGTTAATGTCAAACTCTGTAGTGTTGCATTAACACTGCTCAGTAGTTAGTAGAAAAGTATAATGGAGTCACCCTTCACACACCAGGACAGACCTCTCACACATAGTGTTGATTTTTGGCCAATAACATTAACTTAAAGTTGAACAACTTGATCAAACTGAACAAGAAAACTAACCAGAACTACTAATTTTTACCTCTCATAAACTCCTTTAATGGTTGTAAACAGGCAAAAACATCATTTCTACAAGATTTCTCAGCAAGGAATGCTGGGTAAATACTGGTCTGTCTGACATGAGGTGGAAGAGGGCGGGGCTTTTCAGAAAACTTCTTTCAACACTGCATGGTGTTATATAGCTACACTGTTAAGTGTTACATAAGACTTAACTGTGGGCGTAGCTTATTTAACACTGTCCAGTGTTGAGACAACACTGAGGAAATCAACACTGTGAATTAACACCAACACTGGGTGTGAGTGTACTCAGAAAGTGGTAAAATAACACTAAGGGTGTTAAATCAACACCCAAGAGTTTAACACTGAAATTTTAACACTCAAACACTCACAGTGTTTGTGAGCAACTGACAAGTCTCCAACCGTTGCAGCCCAGCGAGACATTTCAGCAGAAAACCTACAGCAAGATGCCAGACATGATGGAGAAAACAATAAATTCACATTTATTAGTTAAAAAGACTGGTAAGAACCAGTGCTTTCTTCACATATAAAACCTTCTTATAGAAAATACTGTTGTTGCCATTCCAGCAGAATAAAAAATACTTAGTATTCATTTCAGCATAACACTTAACATTTCTTTTATCAAATATTACAAATAATTCAAAACAGTAAACATCGACAATGTGTCAAAGTCAAGTCCCACGGGAAAAAAATCTGGCCCTTTTTACATCGTTTTCCGGCCACAAATGTACACTTTAAATGTGAAATTGTGTGCAGCAAGTTACTTTTGAACTTCTAGTGGTTTGTTTATAAAAAAATTAAGCTAAAGAGGAAGTGAATAGAATACACTTCTCGTGTAAAACTGTTTTTCGTGTCCTGAGAAAGTGTCAGAGAAGAGAAACTGGGAAATGATGTGAGAGAGCAACTTGCAAATCCAAACAGATTCAAAGCAGAGACACTGTTCAKGTCCAAACTCCAGTCCATCCACACTCCTGCAGATTTATTCTGTAACAGGAACTGCAGTGTGCCTCTTGCTGAGTTGGAGAACATCCTTTAGTCTGTATTTTCCCATCCGATTGGATTTGTAGTAATGCATGTAGATCAGTRTCGCTCCAAAAAATAACAGAATAACCCCTGCTACTGCTCCCACTATTATGTATATAGTGAAGTCAACTGTAAAAGGAAAAAAAAGAAAATATCATTAATCTGATTATTCAAAATAATTCAAAATGAAGACATTACTTTTTGAGATCATCAATCTTTTTTATGTCTCCATCTGATAAAAGATGTCAAAACACACCTTTGACATCTTTTTTTGTCACTTCAGTAGAAAATGAAACCAAATATTAGTTTATTTAGTTTATTTATTTC